GGCACCGAGGGAGTGTCTTCCCCGACCAGTTCCAGCCCCATACCTGGGTGCCCCTGTCACTGGGAGCCCAGCCCGCAGGGAGGGGCCGGCCAGGCAGGAGCAAGGCTGGCGATGTGCCGTTCTCTCTGGCGGCTGCCACATCCTTCCGCCAACTCAGTTCCTCAGAACAACACACAGGACCTCGCAGTTCTGCGGGCAGACGTCGTAGGATTGGTCTCCCCTGACTGAAGTCCCGGTGATCACAGGCCCGTTCCTCCCAGGGGCTCCGGGGGCGAATGCCTGTCCTCCCGGCTGCAGGGTAGTAGCTCTGTCTCTCTCTCTCTGACCCTCCTGCTTTGCTCCTTCACTTACAGACACTGTGATAGCCCTGGTCGGTGTGGCTCAGTGGTTAGAGCGTCGGCCCATGAACTGGAGGGTCCTGGGTTCGATTCTGGTCAAGGGCACGTCCCTTGGTTGCAGGTCCCTGGCCCTGGTCGGGGTGCATGCAGGAGGCAACCAATCGATGCGTCTCTCTCTCTCACATCGCTGTTTCTCTGTCTCTCCTTTCCCCTTCCACTCTTTCTAAAAATCAGTGGAATATCCTCATGTGAGGATTAACAGAAAAAAATGAATAAAAAGCTTGCGGCGAAGTGAGCCCAGCATACTCTCCCCAGCTCAGTGTCCGTCCCTTAATCACATCTACAGGCCCATCTTGCCATGCAAGGTATCAGATCCCAGGAATCGGGATCTGAACATCTGTGGGGGCCCTTATCTAGTTTATAGAGTGTCCCAGACAGCTCCCTCTTCATCCCTTCCCTCCTGCGCCCCAAGAGGGGACAGGAGACCTGCCAGGGATGGGTCCAGTCGGGGGACCAGAAGGGGACCCTTGACTGGCGGTTCACAGAAGCGCAAAAGATGATGCTCTCTGCCTGAGTGTGTTCAAGGAAGGCTGCCTGGAGGAAGAGACCTCAGCGCTGTATCTGCAAGGACACTCAAGGAGATGACAGGTGGCACTGAGTCCGGGGTAGCTGGGCCAGTGAGGTGGTGGCTGAGGGTCCAGGGCAGGGCTGGCCCCTCCCTCCACCAACCAGCTTCCTCCTGGGGGCTACAAGGAAGCTGGGCTTCTCCACACTCCCAGCTGGGAGCCTGAGACCTCAGTCTCTCCGCCTGTAAAATGCTGGGCACCCCGGGCTGCTGATTGCTACCTCGATGCCCGCCCGCCCGCCCACTGCCCCGGCAACAAAGGAGCTGCTGAAACCAGCCTGGGGCCCGGATCATGGGGGCCTCCCCCCACCCCTGATGCTCACCTCACTGCCTTTGTGGCCGCCTGGAGCTGTGCCCACCCAGCCCTCCCTCTGCCTACTCCACCCTTGCTGGGCGGCCCCTCCCACTGGTCCCAGGCCTGCTCCTCCCCCCAGGTCCTCTGAACCCCCAAAGCGCAGGTCCTGGTAGGGTGCCTGAGGCCTGGACTTGGGACTTTGGTTCTTTCTGTAAAATGGGCCGCAGTAAACACTTAAACACTCCACTTGCAGGGGAACTTTT